ACGTGGCTCGACCACAATTGGTCCAAGGCGCGCACGCGCGCTTCGTAGTTGCTGCCGCTCCAGGCAGCACTTGCATTGTTTGCTTTTCTCTAAGCTCTCAATTCAGTTCATTGTTCATTTCACCATTTCCGGCACACTCGGATATTACACACATCCTATTATGGAAGATCGAATAGAAGACGTAGAGTCCACTTTGGAGAGCAATACAGGGTTGGGCACTTCTACATAACCTTCTGAAACTGGGGGAAGAACACCTACGATGTAGCGGTTGTAGACCCCATGTTGAGCGAAGATCCACCTTCTGTGACCGAAGATGGCAGCTTGCAATTTCGCGCTCACAAGGCAACGCGACGTGTGATGACCTTACTGACATTCTAAGTGGCATAATATAATTTTCATTTGTCGTCGCTATCGATTCTGGGGGCGTGCCTTGATAGGCACAATAATAATGTTTTCATTCGTGCTGTCCGCTGCCAGGGTGTGGCGTGGCGGGTACCCCCAAACTTCGCGCGGATGTTGACTTGGTTATCATCTGTTGTGCCATTCTTCCTGTTAACCTCCTTCCAATTCGTGTGTAGCGCTCGACTGCGTCTGACTTCCATCGTCCAAACAACTTCACTGCAAGACTGTCGAATTTAGCGTTAAACAGCGCCGTTGCTCCACCACTGCGTAACGAATGGGACCCAAAGCATTTAGGGTGATACCCAGCCTTAGCTGCCGCCATCTTAATTATTTTAACCACGTCGCGCACCTGCAAGTTGGTTGACGAGTCGATACTGCACAAATGTGACTCTAGTGCGATGCCAAGGGTTTTGTGGTGGCTGACTAAAATCCACGCTGCCCGTACTGGACACCACCATCTAGACCCAGACCGCTCCAGCCTCCGACTTGTTCCTTCTCCAAATTGATCAGACTTGCTGCCTCTAAATTGAACCACCACTGCTGTCACGTCGAGCAAGTTCTTGCACTCTTGGCCATCACTTCCCATGAACCTGATGTCGGGTCTTTGAATTGCGTATGTCTGCACGGTTGAACCCTCAGCTAAGTACTCCGATTTCCTTAAAAGAAAAAAGTAGCCCAGCACCGAAGCCCCCCCCCCAAATGACTCGGTGCTGGGATAACTCGAAATCGAGGAGCTCATGAATCCTCTTGAAATATCGATTTTGACAGGGTACTTTGAGTTAGTTGGTGGGTCGGATCGTCGCATTCCAGTAACTGCAAGTTGGTGTCCTGGGAGTAAGCTAACTCCGTACCCAAGCATTTTCCTATG